CCGCTCACGGGGGGCAGTGCCACTGACTGGAGTGTCTTTAGGCCGTTCCCAAAGGTGGGACACTTCTCGTTCAAGCATAGTAGAATTGTAAATGGGCTGACGCATGTCAGGCTCATAACTGTGCCTGAGCTACAACTGGGAACGGTTGCTTTTTCTTTCCTGATCCTTGCTATCGTCATTTTCCTCTACTTCTTTTGTATGTTTGTCACTTTCTTGTGACCTGCTATTTTGGGATGCCTTGATAGTCGAAGCAGACCTTGTGCTGTTGAAGCTAGAGAGGTGAGCAGTCTAAGTCTGATTCCCTGTTAAAATTTCTCTGTTGACACTCACCCCTTGGCGCTCATATGACCTTATGAAGTTGCGAGCGCCGTAAAACCCTCTACTATTTAGAACAAAATTCTCTAGAGTGTTCATAATAAATACATTAATTTTATTTGTTGTGTTCTGTTCTGTGCTTCTGTACAGGGAAAGTGCCCGTGGACGGCGTGCACACAGAGCGACGCTTGGTGCGCATTGACTGCCGGATCAAGGTGTGCTTCTGGGTAATAGCTTGTGCCGGGGTCCTTGTCACGGTGGCTCTGCTGATCTTCAACATCACGCGGAGGAAGCACAAGTAAGCCCCCCCCCCCCCCCCTCCCCTCACCCCGCCATTGATTTTGTGTGCACCATAGATGTACACTATAGGTTTTAAAATGAGATAACTCTATGGTGTGCAAACCACATATGTGCACCATAGAGCGAAAAACATAAAAATGTGTCGGAAAGGAAAATCCTTAAATACGAAACGAAACAAGTCATTCGCGAGCCGTTTCCATGCTTTTGATACGCTGATTCTGAGTCTGGTATTATTATTTTTTAAAATCTACGACGTGATTTTCTATTAAATCGTCCTGAAGGCGGCTGTACCTCGTGAGCAGCATATTTATTCTACACACTAGCCCTAGTCTGGGTGAAATTGTATTAGACAGGAGGGTGTCTTCATCATCATCATTGCCTTTCTCACCCTGGGTCAGGATAGAGGCCACGGACAAACACTCTCCACTTTTCCCTATCCTAAGCTAGTCGCTTGATGTCACTCCACGTCTTTCCACTTTTCTGTACATCCATTTCCGTGACTCTTCTCCAGGTTCCACGAGGTCTTCCTCTTGATCTTTTACCCTGTTCCCCCCTCTCTGTCAATTATACTCCCAAGATAGCAGAAGGATTCGACGTCTTGTAGTGCATTTCCTTGTACTGTGACCTGCTCCTTTCACCGTGCATCTATCCTTAGGACTTCCGACTTTCCGGGGTGGATCCTCAATCCAACAGACTCTGATAGGCTGTTTAAAATTGTTGTCTTTGCTCGCATCTGTTCCTGAGTGTGTGACAGAAGCGCCAAGTCATCTGTAAAATCAAGATTGTCCAACTGTGTCAATGGGGTCCTCTGTATACCGTTTCTGTGTCCTCTGGAGGTTTCCTTCATCTGCCAGAGGGTGTCTTAGATTGTATTAGACAGGAGATGTCTTAGATAGATTGTATTAGACAAGAGGGTGTCTTAGATAGATTGTATTAGAAAGGGGGTGTTTTAGATAGATTGTATTAGACAGGGGGTGTTTTAGATAGACTGTATTAGACAAGGGGTGTTTTAGATAGATTGTATTAGACAGGGGGTGTTTTAGATAGATTGTATTAGACTGGAGGTGTCTTAGATTGATTGTATTAGACAGGAGGGTGTCTTAGATAGACTAAGTGTGTATGTGTGTATGTGTATGTGTGTGTGTATGTGTGTGTATGTGTGTGTATGAGTATGCATGGGTGTGTATATGTGTGTATGTGTGTATATGTGTGTATGTGTGTGTGTTTGTGTGTATATGTGTATATATATATGTGTGTGTGTGTGTGTGTGTGTGTGTGTGTGTGTGTGTGTGTGTGTGTATGTGTTACCGTTCGTACAGGTGATTGTCTTAGACAGGTGAATGTAGCTAAAACCTCAAGGTATGTGTG